CCCCATTAATGGACATCAGTGGTTCCTCCTCCCTGTCAAAGACCTATGCTCAGATGCTATTCATTAATGTTTATATTCTAGTCTCACCCCCGCACTCCACCCTTCCCCATCCCCAACTCGCTGTAAACAATGTAAAGGGAGTACCACCAATAAAGCCACCACAGACTGGACTCTATTCTTTCATTCATTTATTGTATATTTATTCAGTCTCCACTAGGCACTAGGCTAGATACTGTTTTGAGTAAGGCAGACTCAGTTCCTGACCTTGCAGAGCTCAAGTCTAATAGACTTCAGGCCTATTTTGCTCAATTGAGGGATGAATGCTGACTGTGACTGGGGGAAGGATGAGATCCTTGACCCCCAGGTTCTCTAGCCTGGAGCTGGAGCGGGGAGTAATGTGTTGGGCATCTAGGCACATTCAGAGACATTCGAACCTAACAAATGACTTCTGCATCCAGTTGGGCCTTCTGTGTCTGGCAACTGAACCAAGGTTGAGTTGTGAGGAAGCCTGGCTGTCCAACCCCAAATAGTCACCAATCTGGATCAGAGTGGGCTTCAGCACAGCTCACAATGTACATGCATAGGGGCATGAGCGTAGCTGAAAAGCCAAATGTGCAGAAGGGGTGGTATGACAAAGGCTTGTGTGATGTTCCTAATGGAAGGTTTTACGGGAACAATGAGTTTTCAGTGGGTTCTGGGGCAAGAGGGACCTTAGAGGGCCAGGTAGGGGTTGGAGGTGAGTAAGGCAAAGGGGAACAAGTCAGGTTCAGATGGGAGATTGGCTCCTCCAAGCACATAGGTGAGGGGCTAAGGAATCCCCCTTGTCAGTGCCTATCCTGTTTCCAGCTCTGCCAGGAGGCAGGATTCCTTGGAAGTATTTGAATCCCATCAGATGATGCCAGTCCTCCCTCTGACCCAGCAGCCCTGTCAGAATGGGTCAGGAGTCCCCAGGCTTACCCCTGACAACACCCTGTGCTGGACAATACTTTGCACTGCATAGTGACTTCAACTTTTCAGTCTATTTTCCAGCTTATTGTACCATTTGATCTGCTCACTAACCCTGTGAGGAAATTCAGGGTCTTTGAAGTTAATTAACCTGTCCAAGTGACAGACTGAGATCTCTTTGTCCCCATACGTTTTGCCACATGAGAAAAAAATGGATACTGGGAAAGAAAGGGGAGGCAAGTAATTATAAGTGGTAAGGGTTTTGAAGGCCAGACTGAAGAGACTGATCAATATACAGAAGAAATTGGAGCCATCTCCAGTATTCGAAGAAAATATCTCATCTCAGATGAGATATGAGCAATGAGACAGGGTAGGGAAGTAACTATTTTAAAGGTAAAGTGGGAATAAACTTTTATTGGAAAATGCCTCATTTTCCCTTGCCCTACATTTTGGGATTGTGAGTCTCCTGCGTCAACCCAGACCGATTTCTATTCCATTTTGATTTAATCCAGGTATCACAGCTCCCAAAGTTTCTCTACTCCCACATGTCCACCAAGTTGGAGACCTGTCAGGCCTTTAACTGGCTATCATGTCTACTAGTTCCAGGCTCTAAGATGGCTACCAGGCCCGTTCTATGAATAGCACCCAGATAATAATGGGAGAGAGGCTTGGAATGGGTGTTCCCCCGACGGGGTCTAGGTGAGAGGTTTTTAATGGAAGGATTAGAGCACTTTTAGGGAGAGGAGTGAACCTACCACATCTTTTATTGTCAGATGGGGGAAAGCACAGTGTTCCCCTGGCTCAGAAGGGAAGGGAGGGTCTTGGGTGACACTTTTGGGTTCATTTTTTTGGGAAGCTTTCTCCTCTTCATAGAATAATGAAGAGGAAATTCTGAGGGGTGCCCTTATTTCCTGTGACCTCCAGGAGTCCAGAGAGTCAGTTCGTGAATCTTTCATGCCTTTCACAGTTCCATGTCCAATGCAAAGGCTCTTTAGTCTCCACTGCAGAGCCGTTCCCAGGCCTGTAGGAAGATTCCTCGGGTTTGGAGAATTGCAGGCACTTCCACCCTGTCATTTCCATCCTTTGTCTCTTCAACCCTTTCTCTACCCTTTCATACCAAAACCCCTCTCCTACTAGAAGCAGATTTCTTCTTGTCCTCCCTCCTACTCCTCCCCCACTACCCTGACTTCTCCCAGTCCCCAAGCACACCAGGCTCACAACTTGACTCCTTCAATATTTATTGTAGAAAACAAGGAGTGGGTAGGGAGACGGGCTCTAGGCCTGGCCACTGGGTGTTCTAGGGCCCAGCTGGGGATGGAAGACAATAGTCTGGATACCTCACTTGGTGGCAGGCTGTGTTTTGAGTTCCATGAAACTGCTCAAGAAGTTAATCAGATCATTTCCAGCCTTCTTGACCAAGGGTGTCAGCTGCTCCTGTGTCTTCTCAAAGTAAGCCCTGGATAGATGAGGGATTAGAGGTCAGTATGAGGGATCCTAGGCACTGGCAGGGGCCTTGGTGGTGGTGGAAAGTGAGACCCAAGTCCCCAAACTCTAGTGCCTGCTCCATCCTGGCATGGCAAAGCTCCTAGGAGGAGATGCAAGCCCTCCACTGGGCAGAAGAACAGACTCTAGAGATAGAAATTCAAAGCCCAGTTCCTGCTGCCCCTATCGGTCCAAGAGGTCAGTGGGATCTGTGGAGTGACGAAGGAATTTTTATCTCCAATTTAAATTTCATCCTTCCTAAACCTCACCCCCAAGCTCAGTCTTCTGTGGGACCTCCCATCTTCCCTTCTTTCTCTCTACAGCCCCCCAGTCCCTGAACCCCTTTCACTGAGACTTACTTGGCACGAGCCTGGAGCTCCGGGGTCTTGGCCTTCTCCACTAGGTCCTTGCCATAGTCGGTCACGATGTGCAAGTATTGAGAGATCAGGCTCTGCAGACTCTGCTCCTCCACCTGTCTCCGAACCAAAGACCCTGTACACACAGAGAAACATACACGCATACGTCGTCTCAGCTGGGTCCCCAGCAATGAGTCCTGGCCTCCCTGCCACACTTCTGCCAGTACCCAGCCACGGCTCTCAGCACCCTCCCCAAACAGGTTTCTAGTTCCAGGTCTTTGGAAGGCTTTCTGGGCTTTAGAGAGGAAAGGATCTTCCTTTCGAGCCCTCTAGTTGCCGGACCTGGGCATAGGAGCACAGACAGATGGGTAGCCAGGACCCCTAGCATCTTCTTCCCCTTGGCACCCCCTCCATATCACACCCACCTTCAAGGCTGCAGATGGTGAGGAGCAGCACGGTCACTGCAAGCAGCTTCATGGTGGTAATGGTGGGAAAGGTGGCCTGGGGAGAGTCAGGCATAGGGGAGAACACTGAAGCCAAATGGACTTCAGCCCCTCCGCAGTGATCCCTACCTAGGTGCCCACTCCAACCTGGTTCCCTCCCTTCCCACAATTAAAACTTGGTCCTCTTTGGATGCTGCCCACACCTCTTGCTCCCTTACCCTACCTTGTCAGTGTCTCTGTCCTTGCTGTCTGTGCCTGGCCTGGCTGGGGAGGAAGGGGCTATATACCTGTCTGCTTCCCCACTCCCTGTCAAGTGATAAGGACTGTGGAGGGGTCAGGTGGGGCAGAGGCCATGTTGGAGTAAACAAGTTGGAGAAATGGGGGAGGAGAGGACAAGCACATGGGGGACTTGTGATGGGTGGGAGGCAGGGAAGTCTTCCTGGAGGCCAAGGGAGAAATACTTCACGCCTATTTGAGATTCATTCTTTTGGGGTCTGGGGCTAGCAGTCCTTGGATTTGAATGCTGCAGGAAGCAGGCTTCCTAGTTTTTCTCTGGAAAGCTCTGACATATCAAGCCCTCTGTCCTTGGTATCTTTGTCCCATTATGGGTAGATTTCATCTCCCCAACCGTACCCCCCTTCACTGCAACTTGTTAGAGAGGTATTGGGGAACAGAAGAAAGGAGAAAGGAGTTGAAATCAGGGGCAGGGGCGAAGGAGATGAGGGTTAGGGGAATAAGTATTAGGGTCAGAGGGCAGGAGTGGTTGACTTTGTCCCTGTTTGAGTTAATGTGTAATGAGATGGGGAAGAAAACATGAGAGCCCAGAGTGACCCTCCTGAGTACAGATCAATGAGTACACCCTACCTCCAATAAAATAAATTCAGAAAACAGCCTCTGCCCTCTCCCTCCCAATTGGAGGGCTCTGGCAGAAGAAGAGGTGAATGAGAGGCTTCCACCAAGAACAAAGGTTGAAGGTGTCTGGTGATTGGATCCCCTTATCAGTTCTAGGTGGTGGTCAGCCAATATGAGCCAGCAGAGACCATAGCATCCCTCTGACCAAGGTCCCAGCCCTTCTTCCACCCCTGATTGTGAGGGGGGGCAGAGGTACATTCTCCAGGCCCAAGGCATTTGGGTGAAATCAGCTAAACAGATATCAGAAGCATCTGTATCTTCACCCTTTGCCCTCAAAGTGTATGTAGAACATTTCTGAGAGATGGGGGTGGAGATGTGAGGGCTAGTGAGGGAGGTGACCAGAACCCAAGAAATCTTATTCCATCTTCAATTATTCCCCTGTGGAGCGCTTAGTACTTGAAGGGCTCTCCATTGTCTTGTCCCTGGCTCTAGAGTGGAGCACATTTCGGGGCGGGAGTCCATATCGCTAGATTTTATTTGCCAACTCTGCCTGGGGAATCAAGGAAGGAAGGACTAACTGCAGGGGGCAGATGTTTCAGTGAGTAGTTCCGCTAGAACTTTGGCTGCAGCCCCTGCTCCTCCACCCCAAACTCTCATGCCCGTTCCCATTCCACCAAGAGGAGGAGAGGGCCAACTTTGAGAGGTGTAGATCTCCAGGAGGGAGGTGTGGGTCCATGTCTTAGGGAAAGCCGTACTTGTGAGTAGTACTTATTTGGAGGTGTACTGCGGACTGTGGTGTACCGTAGAGGGCTGTGAGGAGTTCTCAGGGTTTCGTGGGGAGAGGGAGGGAGCGCCTAGGAGCTATATGAACCAGGGTTCGAAAGAAGTTTTCTCAGTTGTTTCCTCTGCCACCCTTCACAAAACGAGTCTCCAGGCTGTACGGTGGATGCAGCCTCAGTGGCCCAAGCTCCAAGATGCTCCCTCTAGTGTCTTGTACGCTCACAGGTTTTTCCCGACCTTGGAGAGGCCGGGCGATCTAAGGCCACCTACTACAGTAAATCTAAGGAGCTTCCAATCAAGTCCCGCGCGCCTCTGCAGTGCCGGGGTTGGAGCTCTCTGGACGTAAGGTCTGCCATTCGTTTGCTTCCTCCCCTCCCATTGGCCCCTGGGAGATCGAGGCAGCTTTTTTTTACCGATTGGGCGGGGCCCAACCGAGGGAGGGTCGGGTCTTTGATATCTTTTTTGCCCGGTTCCAAGATGGCGTTCAGGACCACGCTGGGAATGCAGCGTGAAGCCGCAGTGCTGCCATCACTCAAGATGGCTGCCCCCATCAAGATGACCGGGGTGTGCCGGGGGGAAAGGGGTAGCATGATGGTCTGAGACGGTAAGGGCTACTGCTCCATTGCAAGCCTCGTCTTGGGGCCTAGGAATGAAGTGTGGAAAGATTAGGAAGCTGGATGAGGTCTGTGGTGGGAGCTAGGATTAGAGAGTGGGGGAGGGAACAGTGGTGACTGGTGGGGGTGAAGGATTAAAGATGGGACGGGGGAGTGCCTGGGGTTCACTCTCCCCATCGGTGCCCTCTCCCCCCACTCTTCCTGTTCCAGGTCTAGCGTCGGACCATGTGGAAGTTTCTGGGAGTGGGGAGTCGGATGATGGCGGGTGGGGCCCGTGGGGGGTAGCGGGAGCAATAGCGTCCTTTCCCAGGATAACCACGGCCCATCCCTTGTCCTCTGGACTGAAATGGGGAACACGTTGGGCCTGGCACCGATGGGGGCTTTGCCCCGGCGGAGCCCCCGTCGAGAGGAACCTCTGCCCAACCCTGGGAGCTTCGATGAGCTGCACCGGCTATGCAAAGGTGAGAACTTGGTATTTGAGCGTCTCAAGTTGAAGGGGCAGAGGAGGGGAGGGTCTTGAATGCTGGGTGTCCAGTGATGGGAGTAGGAAAGGGGAGATCACAGCCAGGGCATCCAGCCTCAGGGAGGATCAGGTGCCAGAATGGAGTGGAGCGTTTCATGACAGGACTTGAAAGGAGGTCAGTTCCTTCAAAGCGCTTTCTGTGGGATTGAAAGGGGAGACTATTTCTGGGGGTAGGGGTTCCTTGTCTGTGCTTATTCCTTCCCTTCCCCTCCCCTCCACCCCCTTCAGATGTATTCCCAGCACAGATGGAGGGAGTGAAGCTCGTTGTCAACAAGGTTCTGAGCAGCCATTTCCAGGTGCTCCCACTTCTCTGGCCCCTCCTTACTATTCCTCCCGCCTGTCCCTGGATCCTCTTCTCCTTTCCTTTCTACTCCAGCCTTAGCCAGGCTATATGGCACAAATGAGGGAGGATTAGGGGCTCTCTTTACTTCCCTTGCCTGTGGGACTTGTTGCTTTTAACCTGTATATGTTGGAATATTTGGGATTCTTAAAAGGCCTTCTGGATGGGGAGAAGATGAAGGGTGGGATGGGGGATTGAAATGGAGCAGGAATGCTCTCTCCTCCATTGACTTCTCTTTCCTCAGGTGGCTCACACTGTGCACATGAGTGCTCTGGGCTTGCCCGGCTATCACCTCCATGCGGCCTATGCAGGGGACTGGCAACTTAGCCCCACAGAGGTGAGGGCTTCACACACCTGGGTCATCTCGCTAAAAGCTCACTGGGACACAGGCCCAGAGGAGGAGAAAATATGTGTGTTACGGGGAAGAATGGGCAGGGCACCTGCTTCTCTGTGTTTCTTCTGAATGGGAGAGGGTGGGGAAACATTTCTCTGTAGTGAGTAGGAGTTTGTCTTTGTGGCTCCACTAGGGGGCGCTGGGTACTGTTAAAGAAATCCTACATTGGCTTTTGGCTGAGTGGTGCCACCCACCTCAGTCTTACTGTCTGCACTCTTCAACAGGTGTTCCCCACTGTGGTAGGGGATATGGACAGCAGTGGCAGCCTCAACGCCCAGGTCCTGCTCCTCTTGGCAGAGCGGCTCCGAGCCAAGGCTGTCTTCCAGGTGACCCATGGTTCCTGCCTCCATCCACTAAAGCATTTCCTCTTTCTCCTCCATGAGTGTCCTGCTCTGGGGGCTCCAGGGAGACGAGCAGAGGCAATAGTGATGGTAAAAAGGGAGGGAGATTTTACTTCTTGCTCTCCCTACCCAGACACAGCAGGCCAAGTTCCTGACGTGGCAGTTTGATGGCGAGTATCGGGGAGATGACTACACAGCCACTCTGACCCTAGGAAATCCTGACCTGATTGGGGAATCAGGTGAGGAATTGGGACAGGGTTCTTTTTATCTTGGCTGCCACTTGCTAATGTTGCCTATGCCTCTTGATGGTTTGTACAGTTCAGGGATTAGAAAAGAAACGTCTTGGGCAGGCTGGGATGGGGGCTACTCGGGGTGAGGGAACGGCCTAGGTGTTGTTTCTGTGACTGATTCCATGTCTCCCCACTCCCCCACAGTGATCATGGTCGCTCACTTCCTGCAGAGCCTCACTCATCGGCTGGTGCTGGGAGGAGAGCTAGTTTATCACCGGCGGCCAGGCGAAGAGGGGGCCATCTTGACACTGGCTGGGAAGTACTCAGGTATGGGTGAGGAGGAATAGTGATGGGGAGGGAAAATTCTGGACTTGGCTGGGTTCCTGGCCTGTGTCCTACTACAGTAACGCTCCTTTTCTCCTGTACTTTGGTTTTTACAGCTGTACACTGGGTAGCTACATTGAATGTGGGATCAGGTGGGGCCCATGCAAGTTATTACCACAGGGCAAATGAACAGGTGAGACTACCGATCCCATCTCCCACACCACAAGTCAGTCATGAACGTTTGCCCCTCCAGGCCTCCACAGGCCTTGCTGACCTACTATTCTTCCTACCCATACTACACATACATTTCATGTATGCCTTCACTCTGCTGATCCCCTGTGAGGACTCTAGTCTTCACTGAGACAGATCCCTCTCCCATCTTTGCCCGTGGTTCTCAGGTTCAGGTTGGAGTGGAGTTTGAGGCAAACACGAGGCTACAAGACACAACCTTCTCCTTTGGTTACCACCTGACTCTGCCCCAGGCCAACATGGTGTTTAGAGGTAAGGGTTATTAAGATGACATTCAGAGGTGCTGAGGGATTGGGAGGGACAGTGAGAGGGAAGCTCCACCTTACTTCTGCTGATCCCTTTCTCCAAGCCCTGTTAAGTAACCTAGTCTATATTCTCTTCCCCAACAGGCTTGGTGGATAGTAACTGGTGTGTGGGTGCTGTGCTGGAGAAGAAGATGCCCCCGCTGCCTGTCACCCTAGCCCTCGGAGCCTTCCTTAATCACTGGCGCAACAGATTCCATTGTGGCTTCAGCATCACTGTGGGCTGAGGTTGTCCTAGAGCCTCCCCTCACAGCAGCTGGAACCTCTGAGTCAGGTGCCCTAGGGCCAGAGACTAGGCCTCTTTCCAGAGCCCACCTTGCTGGGTGACCTTTAGGTCCCAGGACCAGAGTGGGGGACAGGACCATGCCCTCCTCAGAACTGGAGCTGCCACAGGGACAGCTGACGAGGCAATGGTTTGAGGCTCCCACATCTGCCACCAGCCCTGATATCATCTTCCCAGGCTCTTGTGGCTCTAAAGACTAAGGGAGAAGGATTAAGGGGTATGTCTGGCTGAATTGTCTCCCCTCACTCGCCCCTTCTTCGTTTCCCTGTCAATTAAAGCTCCTAGCCTCTTCCTCTTCAGAGCAGAAAATTCTGCATGGGATTAGCTGCCCATCCTGTTTTCCATCCCAGAGCCTCCCAAGGCTGGGAAAGAAGGGCTGACCTTTGACCTCAGAAAGTGGGGCCCACCCATTCCCAGAAGGAGCTTCTTTACCTCTTAGCACTGAGGCTTCCTCCTTCCCCATCTTCTGTGCTTCCAGAGAACAACTTTGTCCCCAAGGTCACCCCCTCTCCTCCCCATGACTGCATGAAGAGGCAGTTATTACTTTAATCTTTCATTGCAACCACTGGGCTTTCTCCTGGTCCCAACCTCTGGTCCCAGCCTTTTCCCCTTTCCAGTCCAGTGTGTCCAGATGGGCTGGGGAAGGAGGTGAGCTGGGGCCTCAGCTGAAGATCTCCTGGAGCAGTGGCATCATGGCGAACAGTCCCTGGATGTGCTGGATTTGGTATCCATATGCGTTGTTAAGGCTCCGGAGCTCAGCCAACAGGCCCAGCAGTTTTGCATACAGAAACCTTGGAGGAAGTAGTGGGATCACCAGGGAAAGAGGAAAGAAATAAGGCAGCTGAGGGTCTTGTCCTGAGGCCCAGATCCCTTGAACCCCTCAGTGAAGCTAGGTTTGAACACTAAAGAAAATCATGCTCTGGTATGACAAATTTATCAAAGCTTCCCAAGGTCCCCAAGGGAGCCTCTGTCTGACATTGTCTTATCTCACCACGCCCAGTTTTTCTTGAACACAGAGCTCTGAGGACCAAGTGTGAAGAAAGCCTCAGACTTTCCAGAACTTCAATGGTGTGGAATCTGGGGGTCCGGCCTTCTAGAGCAGGTTCTAGAATGTGGGTGTGTTCTATGGTATAAAGCATTCCTCTTCTGGCCGAACTGGCTCATTGAGGGATGAGGGAGAACAGAAGTGGAGCATACCTCAGAGCCTGGAGAGATCATGAACTGTTGAGCCAGGGACTGGCTTTGGCCATGAAACTGTGAATGACTATAACCTCAAGGGGAATGAAAAAGGAATTGTCCCAATGGAGAGGAGGGGAAGGGCCAAAGAAAGAGTGAGGAAGAGTCATGAAAGCCTGCTTTGGTCTGGAGAAGTTGGATTGGTGAGGAGATGGATGTCATCAATCTCAGGAATGCTATTATACAGAGCCTGTGAGCTACTACTTTGCATCTACTGAATAAAAAAATCTGGAAGGAGTGAGATGAAACAGTGGTAGGAGCAATTTGGATGCTGGAACCATATGAGATGGGAGGGGAGGACTAGACCCCCAAGGGACCTGGTTTCCCAAAGGAAAGGACAGGAAAAGCATTCATTCTCGGCTCAGCATTTCCCCAACCCCTTCCTGCCCTGGTGCAGCCTCCAAGCCCCCAGTCTCCCACTGTACCGATCCTGGGGCCTTGGCTGCTGGTCTTTGATGTAGCTGTACAGAGTGAGTGCCATCTCCTCTTGGAGCTGACCAATCTCCTCCCTCTGGGTAACCCCAGGCCGGTCTGTAAGATAGGGAGCAGGGGAAGGACAAGGTAGGGACTGGGGGCGGGCCTGCACTGTGCTCCAGGGGCTGGGATAGACCCATTCCACAGGTTTGAAGATTAAAAGGCCTGGGATGGATGGATTCAAGGAGCTGAGAGTTTGGGCAGACGTGGTGGAACAAAAGCTTCTGGGCTTTGGGGGATGCTCACCAGGAGAGAAGAGGGCCATGGCAGCCATGAGAACATACTCAGGCTCCTGGAGCTGCAGCCGGCGCAGTGTCCCGTGGAAGCGAAAGAACAACTCGAGATATTCTTCCTGGAACCCCACTGCGGGAGATACTAGGCTTAGGAGCCTTCAGGTCACCTTGCCACATACCGTACCACAGGGACACATGCCCTCTACTGTTCTAGCACCATCTCACCTTGGGCTCCATCTTCTATTGTGTAGCGAAGAGGCCCACAGAGAAAGTTTTGTGTTTGGAGACAGAAAGTGGTATTGAGTGCAATCTGACAGATTTCTAGAGCTGCTCCCTTGAGAAGGGAGATCTGGTCCTCCATGGGCAAGGACCTGTGGGGAACATTCAACAAGGGCACTTTAGATTCTAGCCTGAACTTCAGAGAGGGAGAGGAACTCCCAGTTCTGATTGAGATACTTAGAAAGAAAGTTGGGAATTCAAGACCTGGTGCGTGGAAAGGCTGAGGGATGGGTTAGTATGGTCAGTGACTTTTTTGGCAGTGGGGAGGGATTATAATTTGCTGGAGTGTTTTCTTCTTGAGAGGAAAGGGAAGGTCACGCACCGGAAGAGGGGTAGATCCTTGGTGAACTTGATGACTTGCTGTACCATGAAAGTGTTGATGTCTGCAAAGTGTATGAGGAGAGGCAGTCCAGGGACCAGGGTGGGCAAGCGTTGGTGATGGATGAACAGATGAGCCGGAGGCTGCAGAGATCAGAGCCTGAGTCTGAGGCCCTGGTCCTAGGGGCCTCCTTTAGGCCTCTCCAGCCTTATCTTGGAAGGGTTCTGGGCTGAGGAGCCTGCATAGGCTGGGGTTCTGAAGTCCTGTCCTCTGTATTGGTGCATGGTACACAGCCCCCTCCCTCAGGCTAGCCTCCTTGGGCACCGTTTTGATCACATTCCAGCCCAAATACCGTTAAGTGCTCACCCTGAACTGCACAAACTGGTCAAACATGGTGCCCACGTGGCGGTTGTGGGCTCCCAGGAGTATCTGGACTAGCTCTTTCTGCTCCTTACTCAGCTGCGTAGGTGCTTGCTGTGCCCGCCGCTGGGCCTGCTTTGCTCGCCGCAATGCCAGGGCTTCTGCCGACAGGATCACTGTGCCCAGGCAAGAGATGTGACAAAGCTATTGAGACTGGCAGAGAACACCTCTCTCTGTCAGCCTCTGGTCTGGGACCCCTCAGGCACCCTGCACAATGAAGGATGCAGGGAGGGAGGAGAGTTCCCGAGTCCTCCTTGGGATTGGCTGAAGTCCCAGAGGCTCCAGGTGGTAGGGGATTCCTGTGCACTTTCCCCAACCTGTGAGGCACTGCAGCAGAAAACAATGCACTGTGGGAGAGAAAGGAAGGGTGGAGAGTCAAGTGGGAATAGTGTAAGGAGAAGTTTGGCTTCTGGGGGAACATTGAAGAGGGAGGGCTCTTATACCTAAAACATCATCTTATGTTTGCATGGCATTAGAATTTCAAAGGTTCTGAGGTTAAATCTCGCTGGATGAAACAATCCTGTGGGTAGACAGGGCAGGTATTATTATCCATATTTTTAAGAAATGTAAACAGGCTGAGATTCCAGTAATAGGTTCAAGGTCACAAAATCCTTAAGTGATGTAGATTGAATTCAAACCAAGATTTTTTGACTTTTACAGTGTCCTTTTCACTGCTGCATATTGAAAAGTAGTGTGATGTCATGAAAAAAGCAAGAGTTTGGCAGTCAGACAAGTTTGAATACTGACTGTATAACTTTTTAGCTGAGTGAACTTGGGCAAGTTGACTTCTGTGAGCCCCAGTTACATTATCTATTGGGAGCATAGCCTGATTACCAGGCACAGAGAAAAGGCATTAAATAAGTAATTCAACAGTTATTAAATACCTGTATGACAGGCACTATGCTTGAAAGAAAGAAGAGAAAGAGCCAGCCATGTGGATATCTGGGGGAAGAGCGTTCCTGGTAGAGGGAATGGCAGGTGCAATTGTGAAAGTACTGAAGAGAGTGTGCTTGGTGTGTCTGATGATGGCATTGCAGTCAGTGTGGCTGGGATGGATTGAGCAAGGGAGAAAGAGTAGTAAATAAAATTGGAGAGGTGGTTTGGGGGAGCTAGACCGGGAGGTCATGGACTGCAAGAGAGATGAGCCATTGGAGGTTTTGAGCAGAATAGTGACATCGTCTGACTTCTTTCAAAAAGCTGCCTGCTGTGTGGAGAATACACCGTGGGAACAAGGGCAAAGCAGAGAGACATAGTGATTTCTTGGGATGGTAGGGGGCCAACTCACTGTCCTTCTTCATGCCAGCATCTAGGCACTTCTGCAACCTGCAGGCTGGGCAGTGGCGCCTCTGGGCCTTGCTGACCTTACAGCTTCCAGCAAAGGGGCAGGTGAGATCAATTTTTTTGTTGACTGTTCGTCTGTGAGAGACAGACATTGTGAGGGTTGGAGATGGCAGTGAACAGTGGGTCTGTGAGGGGCTGAGATGGCATGGTCTGAAAGAATCTATGGTGACATGGGCTAATCTGAGCTATGCCCAAAGGATAGGGTACAACACATCTCAAGCATTTCCATGGGGGCACAGGATCACTCAGGAAAGCCTAGTTGACATAGTACTAGCTTGGGGCCCCGTAGGCAGTGAGTACATGCTAAGTGCTCTTGACTAATGAGTTGTGTCCACCGGACAAACACTCGGCCTTTCCTCTATTTATACAGTGTTGAGGTCGGCAAGGGTAGCTGCTCAACCACTTTAGCCATGGGGTAGTTAGGCTCTAGGATGCAGGAGTAATATAGTGGGATAAGCCTGGGCGTGTGCCAGGGCTTAAAGGCAGGCTGGCAGGTGGTTTGGGAGGTGGTTTCTATTGGGGAGGGGGCTCTTACCTGAAGAAACTCTTGCAGCCCTCACAAGTCAGGGCATGGAAGTGATAGCCTGTGGCTCGGTCCCCACATACCACACAGTTCCTGGGCTCATCTTCCTCACTGGCCATGGCTTCAGATGTTGGGGTGGCTGTCACAGGCCCCTGAATGTAGGAGGAGTTAGCAGTCAGCTCTGGGCCACCCTTGACCCTCTTCTCCCCCTTCTGCAGAGCTTCTTCCCAAACCTGCCCTGGGCCTGAGCCCCTGCATTCAGTATCTATATTGCTTTTAGTCTCTGGCCCCCAAAAGATTTCCTACCTGCTCCTCTTAGGCAGCATGTCACCTGCAGTCCACGGAATCTGGTGTGGGATGCCTCTCCCTAAACTCCCACTCAGCTGCTGCTTTCCCCTTGATCTCAGGAGCTGTCAGTGTTTGGAGTGAGGGATTATGACCCTCAGTACCTGGAAAACAGAACTTCTGCTGTGTGTGGCCTCCAGTTGTCCTCAGTGACTACCTAGATAGGGCACAGCCTCTGGACCCAGGGCAAAGGCCTGGGTGAGAGGTTTTCCCAGAATGCCCATGGTGCTGGTTGCTGGCACATGGGGAGGGACTCTGGTGGGTGGGGACCTCGTGGCTCATTAGAAACTGCTCCTTTTGAGACCCATGGAGATTTTCCCTAATGCTTAGCTTCAGGCTAGATCTGTAGCCTCCTCTGTACATGGATCCTGGACAAACTGGGAAGAGAGAGGGAGAGAGCAAGCTTTTTCACATGCAGTATGTCAATAGTAAAAGAATATGTGTAACAATTACACAAGGACCCCAAAAGGAAAGTTCTTAAAAAGAGACTGGAGTCTAATTAAGAACTTATGCAAGAGCTAAAAGAGGTCTGACTTCTTCACTAAAAAAGGCTGAAAATTAAATCAGAGAGGCCTCCAATCAATTAGAGGTGAGTGAGATTGATTTGGGGACTCTGGTGCCAGAGCTGGTTTCATGGGTGTGTGACCTGTGCAGTCACACAAGGCCCTCCGCTCAGAGGAGTCTTAGGCTTGGTTTAATGCCTGCTGTTGCTCTTTTGAAATTCATAATGATTTTTGGACAAGAAGCTCTGCATTTTTGTACCTGGTGCTGTCTGGAGCCAAGACAAAGGACTTCTGATTAATAAGTTTAAGGATCAGAAGTAAGAGTCTTCACTGGGGTTGTCTAGTGCTCCATTGACATTGAAGAACATTTTTGCAAGTGTGAAAAATACATATATATACTCTCCCAACATTTATGAACAGAAAAAGTAATTTCAAAAGCTATTTGGATGTTTTGGGGATGGGCAATATGTTGGATATGTCTATTTGGATAAATATCCCCCACACACTGGAATATAAAAATAATTAATGTTGCTCTAAAAGTGAGTTAAAAACCCAAGTGCAGGCTAGAGTCATAAAAACACATACAGAGAGAGACAGAGACAGAGAGAAGAGACTGAGTTAACAAGAGCCTTGTTTAGGTTCCTAGAATGAGTTGGTGAAACCCTTAATCTTATGTGGTACAACATCCAACTATGCAAAACTTATTGCATTTTGAAAGAAGCTGAGTTCTGGAGAGCACAGGTGCTTAGATCTGGTCCCTGGAAGATGGTAAGTGTATTGATGTGTATGCATCTGGTGGTATCTTTGCTTGAGTGTGACTGAGAATTCATACTTATTCATTCAATCAACAAATATCGACTGAGAGTCTACTATGTGTTAGATACTATGGATAAAAAGATGAATAAGATGCTCTCCTTCCCTCATAGGGTTTAACCACACTAGTTGGAGAGATAGACCTTTAAACAGATATAAAGAAATATAGTCAGATTAATGACGGTGCTCTGCACAGAGCATTATGGGACCACAGGTGAGGGGCACCTAATGCTGCTATGGCAAAGGGATGTTGAGGAGGAGGCAGGAAAGGCTTCCTGGAGGAATGACGACTGAGTTAATTTTTAAAGGATAATGAGGAGTTAGGAGAAAAGTAAAAGGCAGCTCAGGCAGAGGGTGCAACCTGAGAAGTTCAAGAAGCCAGATATGAAAAAGTGGACATGGTAGCACTACAAACAGGCCTCTCTTGCTAGAGCATTAACATTTCAGTCTGGGAGTGGGAAGAGAGAAGTTTAGAGAGAGGGGGTTTGAGGTTGAGACGTAGGCAGGGCCAGTTTATGGGAGACCTCATGTGCCAGACTAAGCAGCTTGAGGCTATCAGAAAGCTTTTAAAGGGTAACTTGGGAAATGACATGGTCAGATCTATTCTAGATAGATTTATCTTATTCTAGATATCTTACTCTGCTGGCTGTTTGGAAGATGGATTTGAGGGGGCAGGACTGGAGGCAAAGAGAAACAGTTAGAAAGCTATTGCCGGGCCCGCCCCGTGGCTTAGCGGTTAAGTGCGCGCACTCCGCTGCTGGCGGCCTGGGTTCGGATCCTGGGCGCGCACTGACGCACCGCTTCTCCGGCCATGCTGAGGCTGCGTCCCACATACAGCGACTAGAAGGATATGCAGCTATGACATACAACTATCTACTGGGGCTTTGGAGGAAAAATAAATAAATAAATAAAATTATTAAAAAAAAAAAAAAAAAGAAAGCTATTGCCATAAGGTAGGTGAGAGAAGATTAAGCTTGAGCTCGGATGGTGGAAGGATGTAGAGGAGGAGAGGGTTTTGAGAAATACATGGGAGGTGAAATAATTGGAACTTGGTGACTACTAGAATTTCTGGGTTGAGAAAGAGGAAAAGGAGTTAAAGTTGACACCAGGTTTCTAGCACCGGGTGATCGACTGGATGGTGGTACCACCAACTGGGAGAGAGACTACAGGAGGAGAACAGGGTCCTCCATACTTGGGCCCCTATCCACTTCCATGGTTGCTAACTTACTCTAGCAATCAGCTATTAAGTGCCCACTCCGTTGAGAGGCACTATAGGGAGGGACAAAGGAGAGGGTCCCTATTACCGAGGAATTTACTGTCTAATTAGGGAGACCGCATAAACAAATTGAACTCCTAGATCTTAAGAGGAAATATATAATTAAACTCTAAATTGTGTGGTAAAGATTATAATATTATAGGCATTAATTGCTTAATTAATTTTTTCTTATTGAGTGCCCAATATGAACAGAGTACTGTGTAAGAATCCTTACCTGTGTTAACGTGATATGATAGGTATCACCATTTTACAGATGAGGAAACTGAGGCTCAGAGAGTTGAAATAACTTGTACAAGGATCAATATACCCAACAGTTTATTAGATGACTTCATTTGGATATCACAGAGGCATCTCAAATTCGGTATGTCTAAAATGGAGTTCTATGATACCTAAAGCACAAGCAACAAAATAAAAAATAAACAAATGGGACTGCATCAAACTAAAAAGCTTCTGCACAGCAAAAGAAATGATCAACCAACATGATAAGGCAGCCTACTGAAGGGGAGAAAATATTTGCAAATCACACATCTGATAAGGAGATAATATCCAAAATATGTAAGAACTCATACAACTCAATAGCAAAAAAACAAATAATCCAATTTAAAAAAATGGGCAAAGGACCTGAATAGACATTTTCCCAAAGAAGATATTCAAATGGCCAACAGGTACATGAAAAGGTGCTCAACATTACTAATCATCAGGGAAATGCAAATCAAAATCACAATGAGATATCGCCTCACACCTGTTAGAATGGCTATCATTGAAAAGACGAGATAACAAATGCTGGCAAGGATGTGGAGAAAAGGGAACTCTTGTGCACTGGGAAGGTGAAAATTTGGTGGGAATGTAAATTGGTGCAACCACTACGGAATACAGTATGGAGGTTCCTCAAAAACTTGAAAATAGGACTACCATATGATCGAGCAATTCCACTTCTGGGTATATAGCTGAAGGAAATAAAATCACTGTCTCAGATATCTGCACCCCCATATTCATTGCAGCATTGTTTACAATAGCCAAGACGTGAAAACAACTTAAGTGTTCACCAGTGGATGAATAAAGGAGATGTGAGATCAATTGATCTATCTATGTATCTATCTATCTATCCATCCATCTAATGGAATACTATTCAGTCATAAAAAAGAAGGAAACCCTGCCATTTGTGAAAACCTGGATGGACCTAGAGGACATTATGCTAAGTGAAATAAGTTAGAGAAAGACAAATACTATATGATCTCACTTATATGTGGAATCTAAAAAGAACCCAAACACACAGAAAAGAGATCAGATTTGTGGTTGCCAGATGTGGGCGGTGAATGGGGGGTAATTGGGTGAAGGGGGTCAAAAGGTACAAGCTCCCAGTTATAAGATTAATAAGTTCTGAGGATGTAATGTACAACATGATGGCTCTAGTTAACAAGACTGTATTGTATGTTTGAAAGTTGCTAAAAGAGTAGATCTTAAAAGTTTTCATCACAAAGAAAAACATTTATTAACAATATGAGATGAATCATTTCACAATATATACATATATCAAATCATTGTGTTGTACACCTTAAACTTATACAATGTCATATGTCAGTTGTATTTCAATGAAACTGGAAAAAATAGAACAGAAATCATTGCCACCCTTCCACAAACTAACTTCTATATTACCTAACTTGGTAACTATCCCAATATGAGAAGGTGGAGAATATGGGCTCTGGAGTCATACAGACTTAGGTTCAAATTCTGATGCTGGCTCTTGCTAGCTGCCTTACTTTTATTGCTCCTTCCCTAATTATTTGACATCGCTGAGATCCAGCTCCGCGCGAGTCAGATATCATCAGGCTGGGCCAATCCCATATGGGGAGTGGGAGGCTAACTTCCTCTCCCTAAATCAGTTTTGAATACTTAGGGAGGAGTTCAGGCTGGAGGAGGGATGCTCTTGTCCAGGACTGACCCTTCACCTGGGGCCCAAGGATTGCCCTGAGCCTTATTCTTCAAGGAGAAATCCACCTGGCAGTTCTTTGAGATGGGGTTGCCTTGGGGACACACCTCTCTGAGCTTGCTCTTCTATGTACAGAAATGCTCCCTCAGCCTCAGGATCTCTCCCATAGAGTAGACTGAGACTGGGATCTGCTGCAGGATGTCCCTAGCATCCACAGTGTACAGGCTTTCAGAGTTAACTGATGTCCCTACACTCTTCCAACATGCCCATTCCAGGTCAGGGTCTGAAAAACATCTGTGTTGGTTGTGGCCTGGTGGGTTAAATTCTCTGAACTCCAGTTTTCTTATCTGGAAAAGGGGGTTAATAAAACCCACTAGCCAGGTCTGTTGTGAAGATTAAATAAAGTAATATATGTAGAGTTTCTTACACAGTGCTTCGAACATGGAAGGAAGTTGATACATATTCATTCTTTTACCCTCTTCCTTTTCTTCCTCTCCACTGCCATCCTGTCCCAGATGCCAAGCCAAAATCTTGGGAGTCACCTAGCCTAGCCCTAAAAATGATCAAATGCTATGTCCTGTCCTTCCTGTCTCCTGACCCCTACATGCCCACTACTTCTTAGCTGAGTTCAAGCCCTCATCATTTTCCACTTATTACTGCAGGAGCCTATTAAATTATTCTCCCTACAACCAGCCTCATCTCCTTCCAACCCATCCTCCACGCTGTTGCTATTTCTAAAATGCAAATTTGATCATGTCTCTCCCCTGCTTAAAATTCTTCATTTGCTTCACATCACCTTCAGGGTAAAATCCAATCCCTTTAGCATGTCACACAAAGTCCTTTGTGATCTGGCCCCTATTTATCACTTTGGTCTCACCTATTCCAACCCCACTTCCCTCCCCTGACCTAACACATCACACTTTGGCTCTAGATATGCTTAAGCATTTAGAGTTCCCTGAACAAGCTGCGTTCACTCACCCCTGAACATCTGCCCTTGTTATTCTGTCTGGTTGGAATTGCCACATATCCCCTCTCCTGGTCCTCCTGATCCTCTTGGCCCTTCAGGCCTGAGCACAACAGATCACCTCTGGGAGCCTGTGGGTTAGAGCTACATCTCTGCACACACATTTGTCATAGCACTTATCACATTGCAGAGCACTTGTCTGTTTCTTTCTGATCTGTCCATCAACTGTGAGTTGTTGAAGTCAAGAGCTGCCTCTTTTATTTTTGGATCCTTAGGGTCTTGTATACTCCAGGCACATATAATAAATATTTATGGAATTAATAAATGGTCTAGGATATGAATTAAGGTCTGATTCCAAACTCATGTTCTTTCCATGTGGCATCGTATGGTATTATTTGTGAAAGCATCCGTTCATTCAACAAATGTTTAATGGGTATCTTCTTTATGCCAGGCATTTTCTAGCAATGTAGGTTCCATGGTTTCATCTGGTTACATTCCTGTTTCCCTTTTAGCTGCTGTCTTCCACAGCTGATTATCCTTTGCTGTCCTGACTCTCTGACAGGATACCCATTAGTTTTCTAGTCTGATTCCTGACTCTTCTGACTTCTGAACCATTGCTACCTGCTGTTCCTACCTGCCGTATTTGCATTTGACATCTGGCCAACCTCCCACAGGTGTCCACTGAGCCAAATTTCCAGTGTGGGCCTGCTCTATCCTGTTTGGCTTCCCAGGTTCTGGCACAAACACTTCTTCGACCAGAAAGGGTTCAGGCTACCTCTTTTTCTTTCCACCTTGTAATTTGGTTTTAATCTTCTTTCTCTAAACTCACCAATGGTCTCCTGTGGCCTGTTGAATTCAATGGGCTTTCTCTTATGTTTCTCCCAATCAACCTCCCTACTGCTTTTGACTCTGTAACAACCACCTTATCTCCTTTGAAACTCTTTTTCTCCCTAGCCTCTAGGATGTTATGCATTCCTGGTTCACCACCTGCATTTCTAATAGCTATTTTTCCTTTCTCCTCTATTGGAGTCTCCTTTTTTCCTAAGCCTATGGATTAGGAAAAACTATGGGTTTCTCTCTCTCTCTTTTTTTTTTTTGCTGAGGAGGATCAGCCCTGGGCTAACATTCATGCCCATCTTCCTCTACTTTATGGGATGCTGCCACGGCGTGGCTTGACAAGCGGTGCATCTGTGCGCAACCAGGATCTGAACCTGCGAACCCCAGGCCGCCAAAGCGGTGCGTGTGCACTTACCCGTTGAGCCACAGGCCAGCCCCTCTGGGTGTTTCTCTAAGGCTCAATTTCAACCTCTCTACCTTTCTTCTTCTATGTTCCTCCCTAACAGTTCATGTATTCACAAGGCTCCAGTAAAATGTAAAAATAGCTAACATTTTAACATTACAAGTGTACGGAGCACATTTGCATACCTGATTTCATTCATCCTCATTCTAGTACGTGAGTGTCTCCAAAATCTACAACTCCAGTTCCATGGGATCTTCCTATTCCTAGTAGTTCCTTCTGATGCCTGTTCAGGTTAAATCTCATTCTATTCCCTTCTCTGGACTCCCACTGCGCTTGCCCAGACTTCTATCACAGCATCTATAACAATATTGCACCTTTGTGTTCACGTGACTGTCTCTAGGGAGACTGTAAGCTCTGTTTCATGTGGATTTTCTTTTCCCAACACCCAGTATAGGTCCTGCCATAACATGTGCTTAATAGCCAACGAATAATTAAATAACGTTCCCAATTTCCTTGTCCTGAATTCCAAGAGTCACTTTGAATCCTCTCCTAAATCTTGTTAGTTACCAAGTATTATTGATTCCTTATGCCTTATGTTTCTTGATGTTGTCTCTTCTCTTCTGTTGCTATCACTACGCTCGCCCAGGCTCTTACACTTTGTACAACTGCAATATCCCCATCTTGGTTTCCCTGCTCTTAGTCCTTCTTTTGTCAGATCAGTCCTATATTTCCACTACAAGAATAATCTAAAAATGCTATTTGTCCCAGGGTCAGGTTTATTTTTTATTTATTTATTTATTTTGTGAGGCAGATCAGCCCTGAGCTAACATTCATGCTAATCCTCCTCTTTTTGCTGAGGAAGACCGGCTCTGAGCTAACATCTATTGCCAATCCTCCTTTTTTTTTCCCCCCAAAGCCCCAGTAGATAGTTGTATGTCATAGTTGCACATCCTTCTAGTTGCTGTATGTGGGACGCAGCCTCAGCATGGCCGGAGAAACGGTGCGTCTGTCGGCATGCGCCTGGGATCCGAACCCGGGCTGCCGGTAGTGGAGCAGGCGCACTTAACCGCCAAGCCACGGGGCCAGCCCCAGGGTCAGGTTTAAATTCCTTATTCTGATATTTAAGGCCTTCACACATCTCCTGCAACTTCCCCATCATAAACCTCAGTCTTCTTTCATCATTTTTCTCTTATTATCACCCAAATGCTAGATAGACACATCTTTTTACCTTCCTCCCTTCCTTCCACCATTTTTCTAAATTTTACCCTTTCTTTAAAGCCCAACCCAAATCCCATTTCCCCCCAGGAAGCTTTTGACTCTTTTGGTCCTAGACAATGTCTTTCTTCTCTGACCTACTATTATTTACTATTATACAACTTACTGCTGTTGCATACTTGGGCATTTAATCATCTATGTCAGGGATTGGCAATTTATGGCCTGTGAGCCAAAACTGGCCTGCTGCCTGTTTTTGCACAGCCTGTGAGCTAAGAATGGTTTTTACATTAAAATTTAAAAAGAAGAAAAAGAATATTTCATGACACATGAAAATGATAGGAAATTCACACTTTAGTGTCTACGAGTAAAGTTTTATTAGAATATAGCCACATCTATTTGTTTACATATTGTCTATGACTGCTTTCAAGATATAATGGGAGACTTGAGTAGTTTCAACAGAGACCATAAGGCCTGCAAAGCCTAAAATATTTACTATCTGGCTGTTACAGAAAAAGCTTGCTGACCTCTGATCTAGGATCTTGAATTCTCTTTATAATCTTGCATAGCTGTTTGAGAACTTTGGAGAGGTCTGCTTCACAAAAGACAATATTTTCAATGCTAATTGACTGTTCATTAAAAAGATGGGGGAAGCCACAAGAGTAGGCTGCATAGAGTGAGTAGGAGCTAGCCTAGTTAGAAACTTAGTAACTTAGGCAACCAGATTCCCACTGGAAAGTGCGAGTCAGAGGATCTCAGGTGGATGGGGGAAAAGATGTGATCTTTTTTCCATCTTCTCTGTTTCTGACCCAGCAGAGAAAATGTCAAAGCACAGAGAGTCTAGCTAGAGAAAGGGCTATTTGAGGTCTTATCTGAATCTGGTTGTTGAGAACAGATCAGTGGTTGCTGGCTGAGAGAAGCTCAGCTATTAGTGACTCAGTTATTACAGACCATGAAAGAAACTACCAAAAGAGGGTAACAGCTGAAGGTGAAAGTGTTTAGCTTTGGCTGACTGAAGATTTAAGTAGGCTAAGAGGTTTTACAATGCCTAGAAATATCACAGGCCAGAAAATTTAAAGCATTTTCTTAAAGTAGAAATGAAAGCTAGATATCTGATAAACAGGAATAGCAGTTAAAGTTATCAGAAAGTTTACGACTTTTACCTAGGTGTTCTATTGTTTTTCATCTTGCTCTAATCATGTATTTTTTGTAAAACTTATACAACATAGTAATTATTTAGTAAAGTTCCATCTTGTTGAAAAATAATATATATAGATTGGACTGTGGGCTTCATCTTTCACATCTGCTCCCTACACCTGGGCAGAATCCACTTGGCTAGCTTTGGTACTCAGATGTGGACCACCAAATGGGTTGCTACCTGAATTGTAGGAAGAAACAAGCTAGACTCTAGGAAATAGAACTTGCATATCGATACCTATTTTAATGTTAACAATAGGTACAAGGTCATAAGTGTGTTTCCTTTTTTTATAGCTTCACCACCACACCTGGCACAGTGCAGGGCACATTGTCAGATTGAGATCGAATGAATAAGCAGCTGTAAGTTAAATTGGGGGGGGAGCTCATTACCTATTCAAGTGGACACTAGGGGACCATCATTTTGTTGGAGAGGAATTTTTGCATTATGTGGGAGGTAGGATTGATGAATCCTAAAATGTCTTTCAACTCCTAAGATCTATGATCTTCCAAATCAAACAGGCACTTCACAGTTTCCCTCTTTGCCACGGAATATCGTCCACTTGCTTCTCTCTCTCTCTCTCCCCTCTCTTTTTCTCTCTCTCTCCTTCCCTTCCTCCGTTGAGCCCTTCTCTTGTCCAGACTGCCATCCTATTACTAAATCTTAATCTGCAACATCTCTTGGCTTTACCCCTTTCAATCACTGTCTCCTGCTTCTGATGTACCCTCTTGATTTCCTTCCAGCTCTTCTTTCTTCGCTTTCTCAAACTCACATGCCCCTTCCTTCCCTCTCCCTCCTTCCCTCCTTCGTGTGCTACTCCTTCCTCTCCCTCCTTTGCTCCCCCTACTTCATTTTCCGTGCTTTCATCCACCGGCGGTCTCCCCCTCCTTCCCGCTCTCTGTCTGTCTTACCCTAGTTTGGAAATACAGCAGACCTCTAAGCCTGCCACCATTGGATGCAAGAGGCTGTCACTCTGCGGCAGAAGGGGCTCCTATTGGTCGGGCTAGAGGAGGACGAGCTGACTATAAAAGGTGGGGCAGGAGGAGGCGCCCGGAGAGCCTCTGACAGGACCGGGTCGCAAGGAGACGCCTGGCGGGAAGCTGAGCGCCGAGAGCCGGGGTGCGGGCACCGGAGCACCGGCTCTCCGCACTAACTCTCCTCCGCTTGTCAGCCGGGGCCCCTGCCTCGGAGCCCGGCAACTCTCGGCCGTCGCCCGCGCAGCCCCGAGGGCCCCTCGCCTCGCCTCACCTGCACGTGCCGCGCCCCGCGCGCCCCGTCTGGCCGCAGCAATGAGCGAGGTGAGCGGCGCTGCCCGGCCCCCTGCTCCGGGCGAGGGCTGTGGCGGGGGCAAGCCGCGGCTCCGGGTCCCAGGGAGGGAGCGGCAGCCCAGAGCGGCGGAGAACCCTCCGAGGGCGCTCCACTGCCCCCCTGGGAATGCTCCCACCTCGGGCCGCTGGGAAGCGATAGAAGAGGGAGGCTTTAAGTCTCCCGGCTGTGGATGGCGCTTCTGGGGGGACTGGAATCGGGTGTAAAGTGGGGAGGCTGAGGTGTTGGGTGTAAGTCGTCTCCTCGGGATACTGTCCTCTCCATCTCGCTTACTGCTCCGAGGTTACTCAGGCTTCCCACTCCCCTGACTTCTGAGAAAACGTTCGCCTCTATCCTTCCTCTTTTAGGGCTGTATTGCTCTTCACTCCTTAGCATTCAACAAGAACCCCAGCCCTCTCCCCGTGGGGTGTCCACTTTTCCCCTTTTAGGAAGGCGGCATCCTAACCCTCCACTCATTCAGTCTAACGGGACCAACCATTGGAAGGACCATTTCTGATATTCAGAAGCCCCAGTGAAGAGGGCATGTTCAGCTCCTGGGGAGATGTCCCCTTCGAGAGCAGACCTCCCTCTGCAGTGCTGGCTACATCCTAGGTCTTTTGGCAGGCTGCGTCGTGTTCATCCGAGCCAGACCCAGTCCATTAACTGTGATTTCCTCTTTTCAGAGAACACTGTCCATTGGTGGGGGTCAAAGCAGAGACTTGGAAAGATCTCTCCCATTGTTTGATTGCATTTGTAGGCATCCAGAAACAAGGATCTTCCTTCCTAAGTGAAGTCAGTCTGGGCAGTGGCATCAGAAGCTTGCTCTCTGCAATCCCTTTCCTAGTGCCCAGGATCTTGTGTTAAACCCAACCTCTCAGCTATATGCCAGATCCCAGCTCTGCAACGTACTAGCTATGTGGCCTTAGGCAGGTTACTAAACTTTTCTCTGCTTCAGTGCTTTATCAGTAAAATGGGGATAATACTGGTTGTTCTAATGATTAAATGAGATAATATATACAAAGTACTTAGAACAGTACCTGGCACAGAGTAGGCACTCAAACTATGTTAGCTATTGTTATTATCTCCCTGTCCTTTTTTCTCTTTTAGAGTGTTACAGAAAGCTAGCGCAAGAATTCTCAAGGATACCAGGTTAGTGAAGGGATAGGACCCTGGAAACTGGGTCTCAGTTTCGATCTTCATTTTTAGTAGGAGCTCTGCTGGCTCCTACCAAAAGTTGTCACCCAGGGAGCCAATTAGTGACAACTTCTGTGTTTTCTTGGTTGCCATGTCCACTAAGTGTATCCTGGAAAATTCAGCTAGTCTGGGGGCTGCAGAAGAACTCAGGTGGTTTCTAGTCCCTCAGCTAGTTGTGACTGTGACCATGGCAGCCTTTCAGAAAGAAAAGAAAAAAAAAAATAGTTCAATCTTTTTCCCTCTTGCCTCTTTCAGCCCTACTATGAGAAGAGAGGTTTTCTTTGCCCTCTTTTCACTGAGGTCTAGAGTTCAGCACCCCCTCTAGTGTTTCTAAATCTGAAAGTTGCAATTCAAGCCATCCCCTGGGAGTTTGTGATCTGAAGGCTATGCCAACAGGAAGACGTGTGGTTAGCCTGTGCTTTTTGGGGGAAGCGCTCAGCCTCTCTGTAGGACACGCTACAGGGGCTGGCGTTTAGGGTGGCATGTGGTGGGGTGACAAAGGTGTTTCAATGACAAGGAAAGCAATTTGGTGTTTGAGGGGAAGGGTCAAGTCTTGACTTAGCAGCTGAACTTGGTTAGCCTCAATCAGGAGCTCAGTAGAAAGATGAAAGTAGGATCCTTGGATGGGGACTAGCTGTCAGTGTTTGTAGGGCTGCCCAGCCCCCCAGGCTGTCAGAGTGAACTGGTTCTAACTAGCAATTTAGCCGTGGAAGCTGCCTCCTAACATGGAGCTGAGCCTGGCTTCAGGGATGAGTATTTATAAGATCCAGAAGCAGCCACCTGGGTGTACACAGAGACGAGCTGTCTCTGAACCAGATCCCCAAAGGGACCCTGCTTCCCTAGAGGCCAAGACCCAGCCTGTTTTCTTCCTCTTGTAAAAGCTATGAGGAAAAGCGGAAGTATTGCCCAGAGCTCTGGAACTCTGGGGAGACTCCAAACTGCTTCATTTCTCTCAGCCCAGCCCCAGGGGTCTCCTCTTTCAGGCCGAAGTGCCTAGCCCAGTAAAGCCCTGTGCACCCTGAATCTTATATAAGCTTCACCTCCCCCACCCCTATTTTCTTGCTTCAGAGAACCTGCATGAAATGAGAGGATTTGGGATCTCTTTAAGCGATTCCCATTTCAACTGAAGGAGAAAAACTAGGAAGGAGTCTCCAGACCTAGAACAACTAAAATTGTAGGGGCTCTGGTGGGGCTGCTTGGGAGGATCTCCAGCCCTACTTCGCCTTGGTGGCTCTTTGCTGTCACTCAGTACTGCAGCAGAGCGTTTCCCTGTAAGTGTGTGTGTTCCTGAGCAGAGGAGCTGCAGGGGCTCATCACCAGCAGGGGCTCATCACCAGCTTGTCTGCATTCACAGCTGCAGGCAGGACTTGATTGCTGTGAATCACAGTCTAGCTCTGATAGTTTAATAACTTTTTGCTAGTTTCAGTGAAGGATGGGAGTGGGAGATGCATTCAGAACCTGAGGGCTCTTTCCTATAATCCTTTGTCATAGCGGGTAGCTGGCTGCTTAAAGCACAATTGCAAGTTCTTCTGTGATCCTGTTGCTTGTCTCAACTGTGAGGAGCCTAGCTGGAGGAATCCCTTGGTTCAGCAGTCATTCTGTTGAAATGCGGGTCATGGATGACTAGTGATTATCCTCCTAGTGTCTGTCCGGTGTTTTGGCTGGCAGGGGCTGGAGCAAGGGACAGATCAATTAGAAATCTCATTAGGGGAGAACTTAGAACTGGTGCTCCCTCCTTTATTATTCTGCTTGCTGTCCTCTTAGGTAGTAGGAATGGGGATCCCACACCTTGGGGATCACAGTCTCTTCCCTTTGCATGTCTGTCTGAATCTGCAACCTTCCCCTCAATGAAAGTTTGGTCAGGGTGAAATCATTCTGTTATGTCTTCTGTGACCCAGTTGTTAGGGAACCTGGTAGGGACTTGGAGGAAATCCCAGTTTATTATGGTAATATTGGACATATGAAATTGAAGGGCTAGCTACTTGATATTGGAATGCCTTCCACCTCTGGAAATATCTGTCTTCCGAAGTAAGGGAAATGAGAACTTGGTTTTCGAAATTGCTCATCTTTTTGTTAGTCACCATTCAGGTTGTTGGCTTTTGCTGCTTGAGCAGGAGCCTCTGGCTGGTAGAAGTGGATGACTTTGTCACCCTGTGACCTGGGAATATGGATGACTTTTTCCTAAGCTGCAGCTGTGATCAGTTACCTCTTAGGATGTCAAGTCTCTATAGGCTGCAGGCACCCATAAGTAATGTGGCTGGAGTCCAAATACGCAAACCTGATGCATCTTTCATGTTGGCCTGTGGAGGGTCTTAACTGATGCAAGCGAAGGAGATAGGATTGCAGAGGGAGAGGAGGAAGAAGGATCAGGTCAATACTTGTCTTTTCAAGGTAGTGTTCTATGAATGTCTCCTCCCGCTTTCTTTCTATTTTTCTGTAGTTCCAAATTGTCTTTCATGAGTCTATTTTATCATGGAAAAAAATAAACTTAGTTTTGCAAAAATTCTTCAAGAAAGAAATACAAGTATATCTTTCACCAAGAAAATCTCAAATAATATATCAAAACATTTTAGTGATATAATTTTAGATTTGTTAAGGAACCCTAAAGATCATCTGGTCCAATCTTCTCATTTTACAGATGAGGAAACTGAGGCCCAAAGTTTATCCAAGTTTACACACTACTAGAACCAAGACTAGGGCACAGAATTGCTGACTTCTCATCACAAAAGAACTTTCCATAAGACTCTAACATGTTACCCCAATGAATATAGAATGATTTAATTTACATGCAACTTTTAAAGTATATTAATTATTATAATTTAAGTATATTACAAATACTTTCTATAGGGAATCTAAGCAGTGTGATTTAGTAAATGCTGAGCAAGAGGATAGAGAGAGAGGAGAGACCAACATGGGATGATATTTATCAACAGGGTACATTTTGGTAGAATAATAGGCGGGGCAAGTACTATCCTTCCTTATCCGTATGCCAAGTCACCTTAAAAATAGGTGTGATGAACGTGATGCAGTGGAGTTGGTAAGCTAATAGGAATGAAGGAAAGGGGAAGCCTGGGGGCCCTTTTGTCGTGGGTTCTTAGTTTCTGGTGTCCATTATTGACTCACATAACTGCAGAGCATCAGGGACCAAAAGGAGAGGTTTTCTTTTTGAAAAGAAAGAAATGAAAGCAATTCTCTTAACTCGAAAGTATTTGACTTGGAGGATCCAGGGCAGGACTGGTTCAAAATGGCTTGACTTGCCTCAGAATTATGTTATTATTTTACCTGCAAGAGTAAGCTAAATCAGAAGCACATCCAAAACTACTTTTTCTAAGAGAGCCACAACCCTGCAGGTGCCTATAAACAAGTGCCTAAAAACCTAGACCATGTCACCTTCTCCTCCCTGAGCCTGATTATTGCTTCATTCCAGGCTAACTCCTGACTGAGTGCCCAGCCAGGTTTCCCAAACCCCCACCCAGGGAAAAGAGGTGCCATTTACAGTTCTCTTGTCTTTGGTGCTGCCTCCCTCCCACACAAAGCCCTCCAGCTGAGTGTTTGCTTTGTAGGCTGTGGGGGGATTAATACCTTTATTTTGGGACATTAACGCCATGGGTGGGATGCACATTGAAGATTATAGTAGTAAATGATACTTTGACACATACTCTCTCTCCCCCACTGCTACCCCCAGTATGGGGTGAAGGCACAGCTCCAAGCTGTGTGCAAAGCACCACAAATAACCACTCATTAAACCGTGGCAGCCCATGCTGGGGGGAAAGGGCCGGGGCTGTTGACTCACTGCATA